TCTTTACGGATACTCCTTAAAACCCTCTTTCTTATACATAACACCCAAAAAATTATCACCCTGGAAGTACCATGCACTCGAAGGAGAGAATCAAATGTAGATATGAAGTTTATTTGTATATTCTGGGAATCTTGGGGTTCGCTCAACTTGATCGCTCGGATTATTACTGTGTATCTAACAGGGGAGACGGTCGCCAGTGAAATGATGGATTGGGGTACGAGGTTAGTTTAGATGATAGAAGAGTGTGGTGATCGGTTTGCATGAGCCAGAATGGTGGAAAGTGGATTCCAGTCAGATTTTTTAAAAAATTCGCTGCCGGTCATGCAGAAAATACCGGACGAAGCGGCTAAGAAGTACGAAAACACGAGGAAATAATAAAATCAGAACACTGACGTTAGAAGCGAAAGTGTTATTAAGGGAGACGTTTGGTGCACGGGTTAAACGGATGCTTATTGTTCTGCTCGTTGAGCTGATGACACCATAGGTGCGCAATGATTTAACCCTGCAAAGCAGGCTAGCGGCGAGTGCGTACGTAAGTGTTACATTGGACGTTTACATGACGAGTGGATGGTTGTTATTTGAGTGAATCTTCCTCTGATTTGTCGACATCCTGATGACTTTTAAGCTTAGCTCCTTGAATCGGTAATTTGCTGCATCTATCCTGCAGGTTCACAATTTTCATTGTTGTCATCAAATCTTTCTATGTCACAATAGGTTTTCTTTGCTCACCCCACTTGCCTTGCCGATTGACTGCTTCGTTTGTGGAGCTAAACTACGATCAATTGTTATGTGCCGTCCGATTGGATTTGTGGTGAAGAACTGTGTTTCCAGAAACCTACTTGAATCGATTGCGCTTCCAGATTTCGATAACTCTGTGTCATAAAGACTGAGTTCATGTCCCTCTTGATTTTTTCGTCAAAGATGCTGAAACGCTGAACTGCATAAGATGAAAGGTGGGATTACGTGTATTTCAGATTTGGTGCAGCAAAAGTACACGGGCAAAACGCGTAGCAAAAACCAAATGAAGTTGAACTTGGTAATGCATGCAGGATCTACGGAACGGTTATCCTGCGACATCAAGCGGTAATCGGAAGCTGGATTATAGGAATTTTAGAAACGGATCGGTCGCTCCACATAGGGAAGAAAATCTTGGTGGTATGTTGTGGTGGTTCGGTAAAAATCTACATCATACAACTGAACATACAAAAAGTAACACCATGAAGTTTAAACTAGCTCATCGGCAGACCAGTCCTGTGGCACTCCAGACCTGGTAAAAAAATGGACATTTGCTTTTTCATCGTGCAAACATGTTTGTTTTGGGAGCGCTATTATTCAAACATTTACGATATCCTGCAGTCTGGTCTAGTTACTGATCGTAACCGCGAGTCCCCTTGAGGCGAAACGAATAACAGAAAGGACGTTGCTGTCTACAGTGACTTTCGAATGACCGAAAAGGAACAGAAGGGGGCGACGTGTGTAGTCCTCTGTATTCTCAAACTTCAGGGCGCGTGAGAGCATATGAAGATATTTTTAGAACCTTCCGTGCACGACACGGTGTTCTCTATGGGCACTCACTCTCTCAACTTCTATTCAACATCATACTAGATGAGATAATGGGGCGAACGCTGGAAGGTCTTTAAAGCTAAGATACGAAAAGTATGATTGCTGTCGGGATCGGTTGATCTCCACTGCGTCTAGTTGGACACGCTGCAAGATATGGCTGCTAATTAATGTCGGTGCATTCTTGTTGTCAGTTTCAATCCAGATTGTCAGCATGAGTGCCTGGGGGTGTAGGCACATCGGAATGATTGTGGTAGGATAGCATTAGCCCCCCTTCATCCACTTTTATTCTCTTCCTAAAATTAAGGCTTTCAAATAAATTATGGCTGAATTGCTCCGAAGCATCGGTGTTGAACATTGATGTCATACTGTCATTGGGGAGAGAAAAACTCCCATTACTCTTCTGCGCATCCCATTAAAGTCAATATTTCCATCTCTAACGAGGATGACTGTTAGAAATAAAACAATCTTAACTGGTCACATTCCATATGGACGTTCTGCATAAGTGAAGCCTAAAAAATAAAACATTGGGGAACTGGGAAAAGGAGTGGCTTGTTTTAAAGGTCAAAGGTGAAATAACTAAGGCAGATGTGATCTTGTTAGCTAAAGCTGAGGGCTGAAGTACGCAAGTGACCTTGGACTTTGTTCACTTGATTCTTCCTTTAGTACCAGCTGGCTGGTGACCGAATGTTATGTAAATCCAAACAGTTGTCAGCATAACGAAACAGTAACCTGCTGTGGGATTTCGGAAAATATGCATACGCCGAATTTATCCGTTTTAGTGGTCATAAGGGCAAAAAACTGACAACGCGTTGTGAAGAGTACAAATGTTTCATCGACCTCTTAACAGTGCTCTGCGAGGTCTTTAAGTAGTGGAATTTGCATCTGGAAAATGCCGACTCTTCATAAGGTTCAGGTGCGTTTCTTTCTTCGATGACAGCCATTAGTTCCTCTATCAACAACAGCAAGAAATCTTCAGCCAAAATATTGTGCAACAATGTTACCTCGAAAGACTGAATTTTTCTGACCAAGGTTGTATTTCAGTAGCATATTTTTAAACCTTGATCACTTGGGAAGCGTTACTTTGTATCCAACGTGTAATTTGGTTTGGAGCACTGAAGCTCGCCCACCAAAACAATTTTTATAGCTCCACTCGTTGACAACATGCTAGCGCACGTTTTGGGAGTTTGGGTAAAGAGTCCAGGGCGTAATACACTTCTCATAAAGTTGCTGAACTGACCACGACCGGTTTTGCATTCCTTGGAGCTCACCAAGTAAGCACAGTCCCTGAGTTTCCGTCAACCTCATGTCCTACATGAACCCAAACTGCAGCAAAATAGCGGAATACACTCATTTGCGAACACATTTGGTTTTGAGAGAGATTCACCTGCAATCCAGCCGAATTTCTCGTTTATGACGTTCAAGTAGAACATAAGGTTGACGGACACTCGGGGATTGAGAATAACTGATGAGCCCCAAGAAGGGTGAAACCAGTCGTGGGCTGTCGAAAAATTTTCAGTAATCTTATGAGCAGTGTATTACATCTCCACATGTGTCGCGATATCTCAAGTATCGTACCAAATGAAACACGAGGTGGCCTGGTGCAGCATATTCACTCGCCTTAAAACACTAGAAACGGGAGATTCAGCTGAGATCAAAGTGAGTTTTTTCAGAAAAATAAATTGATTTGCAAATGAGCGTATTTTGCTTAACAGTTCATGGGACAGACTTCGCACAATGAGTCGTGAGCACGTGCGAATAGGCTCAGAACAAAACAAAACCTGGAGTCTATGTGTAAAGCTATACTTTGTACAAAATTATGAAAACGCAGACACTGAAATGCAGACAAAATAAAGTTACCAGGGTTTAACCCAATTAACATAACCCCAAGATCACTTTGGGTGCCTTAGGCTCAAAGCAGTCACAGTAAAACATACTGTTCTAGCTGAGTTTTTTCCACGTTTTATTGCATCCTGTAACAACTTCTAAGTCTCTTATCGAGATCAAAGGATACGGCTTTCTAATATACCACAGAAAAGTAGGCTAACTCATGCGAACACACTTGGGTGGGAAAAAACATTCTAGGAAATTCAGATAGGCAACGGCGACCATAAAAAGATCCAGAAAGAAGCACAACGGTGTCTTTTCAAAGGTAATCTTTTGAGACCGCAGATAACGCGCAGAACGTAGGCAAACCAAACTCAGACTAGTCGGTTTATAGCTGCTGTGATGTTCCTCGTTAACGTCCTGCAGCCTTCAATAAGTCCACGCTTTCCCAGGCCAAGCAGGGATAATTTGGCTGGGAGAAATAAGAGACACAACAGTGACAGGACGAATAATTCTTGTGGGACTGGGTGACTCCTAGGTGTCAGTGGATTGGGTACATTTTCAGTGAGCTCAAGCTCATCAGCACCGTTTTGTAGAATCATTGTCCTGAAAAAGGCTATTTTACTTACAAACGGACTCTAGAAATGAAGCGCTGTGTACCGATATTCACTCACGCACAGAAAAACACAAAAGTAGCTAGAACCACCGGTTGGACAAGTGTACCCAGTCAAAGCCACACCACATTCAATCATGTTGCGTTATCTTTTCATTTAGTCAGCTCTTCTGATTTCCAAGCATGTTTACCATTTATGACGGTAGCCTTCGAATCAGGTATATGTTATGACTCCGCGGTTTCCGTGCGTTAATTTTCAAGTTCGGCTACATTTGAGCGGATGTCTCCCAGTAGCCACTGTCCCAACTGCTTACTGGTGTACTCTGATGAAGAGCGGTCGCCTCTTGATTGATCAGACGGTAACCCATCTCGTTCCTCCATGAAACGGTGACATCTCCTGATATTGTTTCATAGACTTTTCGAAGGTATGCTTCAAAAGTCGTGAACAACCGGTAATCCAGTGGCAACATACGGTTGGAAATTCTGTCATGAACTGGGTTGTTTCATCTATCCACAAGTAAAGGTCAATCAATTCAGTAATAATCAGAAATCAATTCACTTAGATTGATGTTAGGTGTCGTTCAAAGTATGTCGTACAAATTTCTTCGCAAAAATTAACCGAGTATGCTGAGTGTTGGTTGTCCTGCTTCACCTACTGCTGCTCACGGAGGCAACCCTCAAATTTAGCTGAAAGCAAAATGCTGTCGTGTGTCGTAATCACGGTGAGGAAGTTAGTTTTTCTATTGATTGGAATAGACAAGCGCCTTGTTGAATAATATCGTGGAACTGATGGGTTCATTTACCGACGTAGGTCAACCAGACTAGCATGCTTTTGGCAAAATATTTTAGCTTGTTTTGACTTTCTGTTCGACGTACTATTTCACTGTTTTCGTGAACATTTTCTCGTTTGTTTCTCCCAGTAGACAATGAGGTCAGTCTGAGAAATGCGGTACTACTACTCTACAAAGCCGACTATCCCATATACTTTGATTTATGAACGTAAAATTGCTACATGTGAATCCACTCAGTCCTACTTCAAAGCACGAATCTGCGGTGATATTCCTCTGATATGACCAATGTCATTTTTTATGTTGAAGCGCCAGACAGATTAGTGAAGGAAGGACAGCCTCGTGCTTCTCAAACGAACCAATCTGACAGGGGCACTCTTGTAGGATGGTGGAAATCTGTATGTCAGGCACAGATTTATTTGTATTTTTTGAGCTTCCCAGATAGGTGCCATTATTTTGTCATATCAGGTTTGCATAAATCTGACAATTGGCCTAAATTTTGAGCTCCAGGCTGTCCATTCATTTGGCACACTAATTATTCTACACAGGCAAATTAAGTATTCTGCGGATAATGCAAACAATGGACAATTTCAAGGCGCAATTTTCAAGTCGATCCTCCAAGAGCCTCTAGCGCATTGCAGCAGATATGTCGGTCGACAGTAACTCCACTGGATGTAGCTAATAATAAAAGTTTTAAGGAGCTAACAGAGGCCAATTCAGTTGAAAAATTTCTGGCAAATGGGGCAAACTGCCCTGTATACTTCTTTGGGTAAGCAACTAAACTGTCTGGACATAGAATTACCCCTTACAAGTAAACTTGTTTTGGGATTTGTATGAAGCTTCTCTGGAGGCCTGAAACATCAACTGTCGTGTTTTTGAAGGTGTCGCTTTTGAACCATTACCCATAAGGTCTTAATCATCCCCAATGACATCTTATTCTTGGTTGGATAAGGTCTGCATTACGTAAGTATCCAGGTTAGATCCGCCGTAAAGCATGCTTTGTTACAAGGGGACACAATACATTGCGTAATCTTTTATGTATCTGAGCTGTATTGTCAGGCTTCAAACACCATAAGCGGTTGTTGCCAGACCGTGTCAGAAGAGTTGTCTCCGAGAACATTTTCAAAACACCTCGATGAGCATAAAATGAGCACATCTTTTGGGAATACAAGTAACTTGTAGCGACTGATATTGGTTCCAACCTCCAAGATAAACTTTGCAACTAGGATACACTGCTTAGAAACAGAAGCGTCCTGATAATGAAAAGTTCGGACATTTTCTTTTATTTTCAATGACTTTGGCTTGGTATACCCAAGTTGGTCACTGTAGTTGCATGAGTATGCATTCCATCTGAGTATCATAGTTAAGTCCACTGACAGCACAAATATTTGCCAGAATCATCTCGTGTTTTTTGGTTTAGAAACGTAAACCTTCAACTTTCTTCTTCTTCTTCCTTCTTCTTTCTTCCCACAGTTCTCTAAATTAAGAACCGATTGACAGCGCGAGGGTGTCGAAATGTGGACTCCTCATTTGTAATCCGGATATGAATCTCATGTTACATATTCTTAGCAAACCATTGGACTAGAAGCTAACAGTAAGACGATGCGGGATTTTTTTGTTGATCTATAATCATATACACTTCGAACTTTCACATAAATGGCAGTGATCTATGCGCTGAAACACTAAATTAGTTTTCTAAAATCAAGGAAGTTTCTGAGAGACACATTATCTTGATCGTCCTCAAGTGAGGAAGAGGTGAAAAAACTAGAAACGCTTTGCCAAAATCGTCGAGTTAGTAAGAACGGCACCTGTCGCAGATCGCTACTTCCCTAGCTCTGTTTGTGTTCCATTGGAGACCACCGGCTGGTCTCGTTCAGGAACTAACGTCTTCATAGTGAGTCTCCTAGGAAATGCGTACCCTATAAACTGTCATAATATTGACTTTGGAGTGAAAACTAATAATCATGCTTCGTTTTGTTTGTACGTATGAGTTTTGAAAGGAAAAAGTTGTTGCATGGAGCAGTCATCCAAATACTACTTGATTTGCAGCAGAAGAATTCTGAAAGTCCAAATACTTAGCATATCACTGAATACTCACAGGGTCACTGGATAGCAGCTTTACCTGTCAGATGACTAGAATTAACTTAAATGAACAGTAAACATTGTTTGGATTGTTGTAGAATTTCAACACCGTGTTATTTAACCAGCTGGTAAGGAGAAAGTACACGCGTGAGCAAAAAGGTTACAGCCTTCGAACATTTAACAATCTCAAAGTAAAACGATTGTCTGGTTGGGTCAACAAAAGCAAAGTCAGGTGAAGAACGAAACAAAAAAGACCTTCGGATTTGACTGTAACTGTGACAGATGAGAAAATATATGACGTATGGCCTAGATAAGGCAGGACCGAACAACGAAGCCAGGAGAGTGAGTGATCACAATTCAGCCCACTATTTACGGTCACGAGGTCGTGTGATAGGCTTTGCAATGGTACGGCTAAGATGGTGTACCTTGGATGGTGGTACCCTGGAAGCACTGCCTCGAAGCTGACAGGGGAGGGCATGCTGACAATCCTAGAATTTCGTGATATTGAGATCCCATATGGGAGAACGTCGGTCACTCGTACTGCGCTAGAGCCGCAAAATACTTGTACAATGGATCGCTTTAAAGAGCATAGAGATAGGAGAAGGAAACAGTGGAACCTCAAGATGATCCGGATAGCACATATACAACAGACCAAAGCCTCTATGCGACCACACACCAGTACCGATGGAAACATTTCACTCAATTAGTCTTGCTGTGTCAGAAACAATCATGTAAAGTAGTAGCTTCTATCTAACGGAGAATAAGTTGTCTGCCAACTCACCTAGTTCTTTTGAACATGTGTGTAGCGGACTAAAAGTCTACTTTTAAAACCCCAAAAATATTTCATTTCAATGTGTGTGTCTATTCAAATTGACATATTTTATGGTATATCGAAAATGATACAATCCGGCTATATATCCTTAAAGTGAGCACCTAAACCTGAAGTCACGTGTTCAGTAATACATTTGAAGGTGACACAGAAACTCTCCCATTGCTTGTCGTTTATTCCTTCAAATCAGCACTGACGCGTGTAATCCAGGCCGGTGAGGCTTGGTTCATCTGGTCGTACGCGTTATTGATCTGGGTCGAAGGCTTCACTCCCAACTCTCCTAATAGAAAAAGATTGTGCACATTTTTTATTGTTTTTGTAAGTGGCCACTTGAAGCTGGATTCCTTGATAATCTCTTCCACAAAAAAGAACGATGTTGGCTGATTTCGGCATCTGCGGTTCAAGTACCTTTTGGGCAAAAGAACCCGACAGAATTGTAATACTTCAACAAAAACAAACAAATTCTCGTAGCCTCCGAACCATCGTCACTCTAATCAAAGTACATGTAAATATCCCACCCAAACAAAAAACCCCAATACCACTTAGAAATCCTAGGAAATCGCTATTGATGGTTTAGCAGATGGCCTTTATCTGTTTGCCGAGCTTAGCGATTGGCGAACCACCAGTAAACACACTCAAGTTGTCAAGATTACAACACATCGATAAACATTGTTCGCTGCGCTTGATGATTATGTCCAGAACCGCAAACGCAGGCTCTGTTTCACTTCACAACAAGTGACAATGTTACATCGACTGATAGCAAAACGTCTACAACCAAATTGTCAAGTTAGACTTTCAAGTGAATAAGATGAGCTTTCAAAACTCGGCCCTATAAAACTCCCAAGGGATGGTTGCTTGAAAATCAAGGAAGTGAACTAGAGACCCACAAATCATTCGAGGCATATGCATAGGGTTTTTCATTATATCAAGGTCAACGATCCTTCAATGTGTTAAACACAGGCCAAGTAAAATGGATAAGTACTTTTGTAGTTGAGGCTGGAAACTAAACTCACTCATTCCTCCTGGGTGGCAAGTGCTGCTGTCAAGTTACAACGCAGAATCAACCGTTTTTTCTAACAAAAGATCAGGTTTTCCTTAATACGTCGTCATACCGGTTTAGTCTGTGCATCTGCTGACTCCTTTTTGATGGCGCTTTTTTACAAGTTCCAGTTCACTTAACGCTTAGTGTGAAACCAAGTAAATTATTTCAATTTTAACGTGCACTGCTCATACGATAACATTTAAGGTTTGTACTGATATCATCTCCCGACTACCGTTATAGCAAACCAGTGTATGGTATTGCGCCACTATGCCATTTCTGCTCAAGTGCTGGATGGACAAAACAGCGCATTTTGGAACCGAGTGCATTAAAAATCACAGGTAGCTAGGTGAAACACCATAGCAACCGGGCCTTTTGGTTGACGTAAATGAACCTTTGGGTAGTCGGGAATAAGCAACCTAGCAGGAAAAATTGTGATGGGACGAAAAGATAACTTACCTGCGAAAGAACCTAATAAAATGTAAAATTAATGTGGAAGGAATGTAATAGAGGGGTAGACGTGGAGGAACAGGAGTAAGGAAATATGTGGGATATCTTGGCTGTTGAGTGCAGCTCAGAAACCTGGGTTATGTGTCCTGAGATAGACACCAAGTACCGCAAGTCAATCAGACAAAGGCCGCAGAAAGACTGACGGAAATGGTTTGCTTAGAAGCTCGGCATCAGTTCCTTAGAGCAATGTGGTTAAGTAGGCACTTTGATAAAGAAAGGCGTGCGTCCCAAGGATTTCTCTTTAATCAAGTTTAATAATCGCTGAACACTGCAAAAACCGTTTACCTCGGGGGAACATCCATGGATTTTACTCAATTTGTTGGTTGGCTCCTCCAGAAAATGTCTTTGCTAGTAAGGTAGAGTCACTTGGGGTAATTGTCAGTGTTCAAAAACATATGGGAACGAGGCACAAGATCTTACTATGCTTTACGTTTGGTGTGTGAATGGATTTTCAGGAGATACAGAGGTTGGGCGGAGTCGTCGTGTGAGAAATTTCACACATTTTAATAGAGGTTTGCCCATAAGTGAACCCCATCTATGCTGCAAAGCCGAGAAACACTGTACAGCTGTTTTATATTTATTGGGGATCTTCAGCTGTGCGCAACTCAGGAAGCTCAAGTAAGTCTTTAATGAGTGACCCCGAGGAGAGTAATCACTTATATTTTTAGAGGATATTCTCATTCCACCAAGTTGGGGGATAGGTTGAGGAGCTGCGCGAATTCCGAGGAACGTAGAAGTAAATACTGAGATTAATAGGGTAATCAACTGAAAGAAGAAAACTGAAAGAAAAGTGGCGGAAAACCGAAAGAAAACACAGGAAAAAGGGGTATTACAGAGCTATGTACATTTACTTTGTTTTTGGTTTTGTCTTTGCCCTTTTTTATTGTGTTTTGGGAGGATGCTAACACAGAACCAAACATTGCATAGAGGAAGGCCAGTAAAAATCTCTGCTTATGGCTAATGGTATTGGACAAGAATCCAAAAAACTAAACAGGCAGACTACTTGATGGTTGGCAATACCACCTGGTAGCAAAAGAATTGTGCGAGCTAATCGAACTCAGACAATAGGGGAAAAGCAAAGAGTAAAAAAACGTCATCCATGTGTCGAAGGGTATCTTCACTACGGTCCAAGGTTATTCCGTACAGTCTGTAAAAATCACGGATATGCAGGCGTTTATCTTAATGACTACAAGGATTTACTTGACAGGCTGAGCATAATTATGGTCAGACACGTTGCGTGTGTTGTGACGGTGTTTTGTACTGAACCTGTTTTGGATGCTTGATTGGAGTGATGTCCTGTCAACGGAACATGGTTTAGTCCATGGAACGAGTAGCTTTTTAATAAAGTTCCTTAGTTGCAAATATACACTCATTTGCAAACTAATTTGTTTTTTTTTCAAGAGACTCACCTGGAATCCAGCTGAATCTCTCGTTTATAATGTTCTCAGGCTACTGAATGTGCTGCACCAGGCCGCCTCATGTTTCAGTTGCCACGATAATTGAGATATCGCGATACGTGACGCAAACCCTGGGACTGTGCCTACCTGATGAGCCCCAAAAAGGGCGAAACCGGTCGTGGGCTGTCCACGGACTTTCAGCAACCTTATGAGAAGTACATTCCTTAGTTTGGGGTTTTTCGGGATAGGTATTTTGTTCATAGTCACACCACTCTCGTTTGAACGGTCGTCCTCCTCTGTCTCTCGAAAAGCCCAATTAGTTTGCAAATGAGTGTATATTTGCTAATTTCGTGCAATTTGGTTTGAAGTAGAACATAAGGTTGACGGAAACCCGGGACCGTGCCTATCTGATGAGCCCCAAGAAGGGCGAAACCGGTCGTGGGCTGTCCACGGACTTTCAGCAACCTTATGAGAAGTACATTCCTTAGTTTGGGGTTTTTCGGGATAGGTATTTTGTTCATAGTCACACCACTCTCGTTTGAACGGTCGTCCTCCTCTTCTGGTGTAATTATTCCGGTGAGTCCACGCCAGAAGGAAGCACCGGACTAGAGTTTTGCTCTTGTTAGAGCTCATCAGCAGTGGATATCCAATGGCCATGCGGGGATTTGAAACCCGGACATCTGACATACGAGGGGAGTGCGTAACCACTACTCCACCAACGCACGTTGGATGCATCTGAATTTTCATATCTAAAAGGGCGAACGTGTTCACTCCTGAGCGATGTTATTGATGTACTGGACTCAGAACGACGACACAGTAACTGTCCTGGTTGTGATGATCGATTGACCCTCCAGTCAGGACTACCCAGTCAGGTAGCGTGACACACGCTTGAAACCCACTGGGCAACTTTTTGGTTGCAATTTTGGGATTTTGCGGGATAGGTATTTTGTTCATAGTCATACCACTCTCGTTTGAACGGTCGTCCTCCTGTTCTGGCATAATTATTCCAGGGAGTCCACACCAAAGGGGAGCACTGGACTCGAGTTTCGCTCCTATTAGATCATCAGCAGTGCATATCCAATAGTGTGACTATGAGCAAGTCTTTAGTTCCAAATTTGGCGACTATTCACAACTCCGGCGTTCATGGGTGCCTCATCTGTTGTCTGAGAGCTAGTATGGAGCTCTGGTATACTTTGGGCCCAGGGCCGATCACTGGGAGTCATCGATCTGTTTTCGATCGGTTTTTCTGAGGTTGGTTACAGTTTTGTGGCTGGATGTTCCACCATATCTTGTTTTCGAGAAAACTCTTATTCTGAAAGTGAAACCATTCTAGGTCATCCATTGATGTACTGATGTTTACTTCTTGTTGAGAATGAATAACAGTGAGCATTTCACGAATGTCTTGGAAAGCTCGTTTTGTGCATCTTACAGAAGGTAATCAATAGGCATGCATGGCGCAGAAACCACTTGCAATCAGTATGATCCAACTGGTTGACAGGTTATTCAGTGTCGCGGTTTCAGTGGTCAGGTTACATTTACCAACTCTACATCCGATTGGCGGTAAAATTGTGGTTCCCGTCATTCTTGAACAAGTCAGGCAAGTGTTCTGTTCACAATGTTACACAGTTTAAAGTCGTAAGATGACAGTCCAAGAGTTCATAAAGTGCGCATCTGTGGCTGCTTGGATCCATCCCAGGTTCGGGTATCCTAAGGTATGACGGGCCACACATGTGGAGATGCAGTCAGGGTTGTCGTGGAAAGCATCGTTCTTAAATTATATCTCAGAAGTTATACGAGACTCACTATGTAGGAGATCGAGGCGATCTGGAGCAATAATAGAGACCATCAGCTGTTGTTCATTAGTATCTTTAGGGTGTTATTTATACTGGCCTACCGAACGTGGGGAAAATATAAACCGTTTTTCGGATATAGCCTAAAGTCACCAAAGTTAGGAGCATTACTAAAACGTGGACCTTAGCATTGCAGTTGCAGCTTTCTGTATTGAAAACAAGCATACTAACGTGACTGTTTGTCCAACTCAGTGATGTGGTTGGTAAGTATGAACTCTGGCACCTCTTTTGTCTGCGACATATTTTTGGGTGATGCTTTTAAGAGAAACGAAGTGGAATTAATCACTAGCGAAAATGCCGTGTTTCGACTGGTAAAGCCCCTACGATTTACAGTGTGCGGACGTTCGAAATTCAACTTCCTGATTAAGACACCCATCCTGGGCGCATCTTCACGCAGAGGGGCCTAATTATATACAAATTAAATAGATCTAACTATGTCAAGTTTGTTTTACAATTGGTTCCTTTTTGCAGAAACTAACTTGGATTCCGCAACTTGAAGAAGTATTTGACAGAGACCGCTCCGTGAAGTTGGATATCAGACCTATGCATGGTGTATTTTTTCTCGTCCTGTCACAGCTTTGGAAGTACCATTCATATCTTCCACAGTTCAGAGAAACTCAGAGATCCGAGATTTACCGATGGTAGTCTCAGGACGAGCCCAGACATGAAAAAAGCACAGGTGCAGAGAGTGACACATCCCCAAGTTCACCATCGGTACAACACGTTTCGGGAAGCAAGTGAGTTGGCGGAGCACACCAAACACGGCTTAGCAACATAAGATCAGTGGAGTGGGGCTGAAGGTGTTCACGACAGAAACACCGCCACTGGTTTTACAGAACGAGCAAGTAAACGACCATATTTTTGTTCAGACAATACAGCTGTGTCCAGGGTTCTCTGTCTCCCCCTCATCGCGTAGTCTGGCAGGCTCAGTGCAGGCGTAACCAATATGCGGCCACTGCACTATACAACAGGTAGCCGGTAGCCTTGAAAATGGCAAGGTGTGCAACTTTCGTATATAAATGATAATAATCCAGTTAATGCATGCATCTGTTGTGGGCCAGTTAGCCCGAGAAAGGGACATATTCATTATTGTCCGTCTCCTGCACACAGGAACTTAATAGACTTTCACCAAGGAGCCCTACTCCCTGAGTAGCCCAAAATCTCGAGTGGATGGGAGATCTCAACCAGTCTATGAGTGTATAAAACTGATATACCGTCTAGTCAGGATTAATCAACTGAGATACCATCAGTCTGTCCTTAGTTTGGGGTTTTTCGGGATAGGTATTTTGTTCATAGTCACACCACTCTCGTTTGAACGGTCGTCCTCCTCTTCTGGTGTAATTATTCCGGTGAGTCCACGCCAGAAGGAAGCACCGGACTAGAGTTTTGCTCTTGTTAGAGCTCATCAGCAGTGGATATCCAATGGCCATGCGGGGATTTGAAACCCGGACATCTGACATACGAGGGGAGTGCGTAACCACTACTCCACCAACGCACGTTGGATGCATCTGAATTTTCATATCTAAAAGGGCGAACGTGTTCACTCCTGAGCGATGTTATTGATGTACTGGACTCAGAACGACGACACAGTAACTGTCCTGGTTGTGATGATCGATTGACCCTCCAGTCAGGACTACCCAGTCAGGTAGCGTGACACACGCTTGAAACCCACTGGGCAACTTTTTGGTTGCAATTTTGGGATTTTGCGGGATAGGTATTTTGTTCATAGTCATACCACTCTCGTTTGAACGGTCGTCCTCCTGTTCTGGCATAATTATTCCAGGGAGTCCACACCAAAGGGGAGCACTGGACTCGAGTTTCGCTCCTATTAGATCATCAGCAGTGCATATCCAATAGTGTGACTATGAGCAAGTCTTTAGTTCCAAATTTGGCGACTATTCACAACTCCGGCGTTCATGGGTGCCTCATCTGTTGTCTGAGAGCTAGTATGGAGCTCTGGTATACTTTGGGCCCAGGGCCGATCACTGGGAGTCATCGATCTGTTTTCGATCGGTTTTTCTGAGGTTGGTTACAGTTTTGTGGCTGGATGTTCCA